GACATGTAAATTAAAAATTGTTATTTTACGGTGATAATCTTGTTTTCTTGTGCCCAATAATGCATAATTTCATTTGATAAACACGTTTAGATTGGATGGTAATTTATAATCAGTCACAAGAACGTCGAATCTGAATCACTTGAAAAAAACTCGGGGGTGCTTAACTTTTTTCCAGGTGTATATTATAATAAATTGAACTAAAATTAGATTACATGAGGTTAGATTAGGTAAGAAAATGGAAAATATAAATAATTCTTCATGAGATATGCTCACTGGCAGCTTTTGCATTACATCATTCAATACGGTAAGTTGAGCTACATGTTTGCTGGGTGGTTTACAACTTGTGTTGTGGGATTATTAGTTAGATTGTTCAAAGGGCAATAAAATTAAATATAAACATATGTAGCCTGTTACAAGCTTTAAGCTGTTTAGGATAAACAGTTGTAGTTTCCTGTTACAGTCTATAATCATTCTAGAAAGAAACAAAAAGGTAATTTAGAGTTATTTCATATTTTTTTCATGATTGTTGCAAAGTCAGTCAAATTGAGAAAATAACAGATAAAATATAGTTTTACTGAAAAAGTTTTTGGTATTTATTTAGAAGGTTTTAGAAGTTACAAAAATGAAAATTGAAATTTTCAGATGAAGAAAAGTATTTTTTTATCTTAACATGAAAATCACTTTGCAGTCAACACTGACTTTAAATGTTCACAGACAATTTTTAAATTAAGTAGTTTTACTAAAGATTTGACTCTTTTGTATACAAAAGATTTGTAATGTTTACTGAAAGCTTGCCAAATTTTGTGAAGATAAACAAAACATATTAAAAGCTATAGTATGGAAACTGTAATGGTTTCTTTGTAGATACAAGGTCGGTCACATCAGCCGACCTCATATGGAAAGCGTTAATTGTTTGTTGCATAATTAAAGATGTGTGTTATATGTTTGTTAATATTAAAGTAGTGTAAATTATGCCTGATTATGAAATTATTTCAGTTTCAACTGATCATTTGATAAAAGAATTTGTCAAAATTTTAACAAATCCAATCCTTTTATGTCCCCCTAAACATTTCTTGTAAACATGGATGATACATAATTTATACAACAAACTTCTTAATGGAAGTAAATTGTTGTTGATAATTAATTATATTAAACACGTGAATATTAGAATATTAATTGAGTTTGTTATTCAGTCAAATAAGGTATAATTTACTTTGTCATTATTTTTTGTAATGTAAGCAGTGTCATCCCTTTTTTTTCTCTTAAACAATGTTTAAATGTTTTAGTGCTTTTGATGGCAATCCATCTTTGCTGGAACTTGGTCAAGAGGTAGAGTATGGGGTGATACAGAAAGGTGGTAAACAGAGTGCAGAATGTGTTCGTAAGCTTGCTTCAGGATCAATTCCCAGTGAAGAAATTCATCCAGAAGTTCTGAATGGAGTTGTGTATCGTACACTGCACTGTTTCAACCCTGACCAGGAAGAATACTGTGGGCTCATCTCTGTGAGTGATGCAGTTGAAGGTTAGTTGCTTCAATATTTAATGCTGAAAACAAACTGTAGTTTAATTTGCTTATAGAAAACCTCTACCCTATCATCATTTTGAAATAAAACTTTAAGGAAAAACCCATTTCTATCTCATAAAGAATCTGCAGTTTCTTAACTTTGTTTTAGTAAAAATTACTCAGAAACTTAGCAATTGTATTGTTATTAATGTATGTGCATTAAGAAAATATTTGTGGATATGTGACTTCTTGAATTAGAAGCAAATTCCTTGAGGAAATGTATTACTGCTCCTGTTCTTTCGCTATTCAGGAAGCAGAATTTGAATATTTTTGGTAACTTACTCCTTTCTTTGGTACTGTGAAAAGCTGTTTCATAATTTTATGTTTCTTTAACAAATTCATTTTGAATAAGTGTAGATTTTGACATGTATCCTGTTGATATTTATTTTAAAAGTTTACTTGTTAGAGACCTTCGAACTGGTGTATTTAAGTGTTTTACACTCACAAAAAAGAAACCTATCAGTCTATAGATATTTGAAGAACTTGTAACATTTCGCTACAATTTAATTCTTCGTATTGTTATCTGACACTGGGCAGCTTGTACATAATTGAATAAATAGAGTTGTTTAAACATTTGTTTAACAACAAGTAAAAGCTTGGAATGGCCTATTCTTTCACTGGGGTGAGCCAGAATGATAGGTTTCTTTTTTTGTGAGTGTAAAACACTTAAATACACCAGTCCAATTTTCAATATCTCACTACTATAAAGGCTTGGTTTGGTCTGATATTTCATTGGTAGTAGTGTCCAGGTTCACTGATGAGGAGTGGAATTCTCCAAAACTAGTCTGGCTCAATGAAAGAATAGACCATTCCAAGCTTTTACTTGTTAAACAAATGTTTAAACAACTCTATTTATTCAATGTTAGAGACTGTATAAATCACATTTTGCTGGAATTGATTCATCAGTCATTTGTTCTGAAAAATAAGGGGTTGGATACTCTGTATTGGAGGTTTGACTGCTAGTGATTCTTCATTTTTAATCTCTAGTATAATGAAAATAGTTATTTTGAAATATATAAAAACAAAATGCACACTGTGAATTTATTTACTTTTTCATTTTAGATGGAACTTTAGAACCACCTACCCTTTACCCTTTTGGAATTACAAGCCTTTATGATAAACATGACCTGCTTCAGAATGGAGATGTGGTACAATTCCAGATTGGTGTGAGTAAGACCACTGGTCAAGAGCGAGGAATGAATGTTAAAGCAATTCGAACACGTTACCAGGTATGCAATGAAAAGTTGTTTGTACACATAAATGTCATTATTACCAATTGCTGTACAGCTGATATTAGTAACATTAATAATGTTTTTAATTTGGCTTGGGTTAATTTTAAGTTGGGAAAATTTTGTTTTACATATTTTTCTGTTTTATTCAGTCTGTTGTAGAAGCAATTCGAGGAAGTTTTGGATTTCTGGCTTATGAAATTGAGGATGGAAAGAAACTATTTTTTCACATGTCTGAAGTCAAAGATGGGGTGACTCTGCAGACGGGTGATAAAGTGGATTTTGTTATCGTTCATAACCAACGCACAGGAAAATCTTCAGCTTGCAATGTATTAAAAACTGGGTAGGTAGCATTTTTTTTTAACTTGTCAATTAGTTTTCTGACTGAAATTGTAAATGTGTATAGTATACAAGTGTAACTGAACTTCAGCTAACCAAAGTAACATACAAACAGTTCACCATTCCTAGCAGATGGTATACGTTGAAGGTGTATTGATACTTCATCTGATACGATAAGCTTTATGTATCTAAACGAAACTTGGCATGCTTTCAGTAAACATTATAAGTCTGTTGTACAGAAAAAAATCAGAATTTCTAATAAAGCATTTTTGCTAAAAGTTAATGATTCAATAAAGGAAGATGAGTATTGAGTATTACATGTTGTCTTCATTTCTTTTATCAAAAACATTTCATGCAAAGTAACATAACACATTAACAATAACAAGTTAGATAGACAGATATTAACTTTTCTTTTATTTCTCTTGCCAGCTGTCATTTCGTTAATCAAACCTGTGAATTTGAAAAAGTACTGTAAAGTATGAAGTACTTAAATAAGACAATGTTGGTAATGTATTAGGTCGTCAAGAAATTAATGTCGCTTTTTTAGATGAAAAAACCAAAAACCTTGTATAACAAAACATTTATTAAATGAAATAGTCTCCATTCTTATCGATGATGCTATTCCATCTTACAGTCAGGTTGTTAATGCCCTGATTAAAGAAATCATTTGCATACGTTTTCCCATTGAGATGGTGTTGCAGCAAACGAAAAAGATGATAATCTGATGGTGCCATATATGGAGAATATGGTGGGTGGGGGAGAACTTCTCAACCCAACTCCATAATCTTGTGTTACGTCAAACGTGCCACATGTGGACATGCATTGTTGTGGAGAAGAAGAACACCTTTCTGATTGAAGAGTGAAGGCATTTCTGATGAAAGGCATGATTTAAACATCCCAGTTACTAACTATAGATCTCTGCATTGACAGTTTGCTGTGGATTGAGGAGTTCGACATTAATTACTTCTTTGATGTTCCACCAAATGCAAAGCATCACTTTCTGCAGATGGAGTCCAGATTTTGGGGTCAGAAGTGGTTTCTGGCATTAAATATTTGCATAGAAAATCCAGTTTTCATCACCATTGACAATTCTGTCCAAAAAGTGGTTCATGAGCATTACGTGCCAGAAGAGACAAAGCAACGTTCAAACGTTGGAAACAGTGATCATCGGAGAGTTCGTGAGGCGCCCAGACAGCTTCTTTGTGGAGTTTTCCCACATTCCTGAGATGTTTACATATTGTTTCATGTGAAACATGCAATTTAGGGGCCATTTCACTAGTGTGTTGCCTTGGGTTAGACTTAACAAGCGTCTTCAGAGCATCAATGTCAATCCCAACATGTCTGCCCCTGCCATCACAGTTTTTAAGGCTAAAGTCACCTGAAGGAAATTTGCTGAACCATTATTAACATTATTGTTATTATTATAACCAATATTGTTCAAAACATTTCCATAAACTTCTTTGATATTCTTTGTGGCTGCAGAGGCATTCTTTCCCTTCTTGTATTCAAACAGCATTACATGCTGAATGTGTCTCGTCATGTGCCATCACTATAAGGGATTGTACTAAACTTTACACATTATATTGGTTACACTAACGTGACGTGTAGGCAGTTCGTTTAACTATTATATGTGATGTATGTTTTTGGGGGTGGTTAATGAAAGTGTTCCAAAATGCGACATTAATTTCTTGACGTCCTAATAGATGATTATACACAATATTGTTAAACTTTGTAACAAAGTATTAAGTACTACATGTTGTCTTCATTTCTTTTATCAAAAACATTACATGCAAAATAACATAATAAATTAACAATAACAAAATAGACAGATATTAACTTTTATTTTATTTTACTTCTCTTGTCAGCTGCCATTTAATTGATCAAACCTGGAAATTTGAAAAAGCACTGTAAAGTGTGAAGTACTTAAATAAGACAGTGTTAGTAATATAGATAATAAATTACAGACAAGAATGTCAAACTGTGTAACAAACCGTTACTAAAAACTTCTATATCTAGATATGTATCATATCTATATACCTATTGTATCAACTACTGTGATGAGATACGCACTCTTAGTATACATGCTAGCAGTGTAGCTGAATTTAAGGAGTAACAACATAAACACCTATGAGGTAATACAAATGCTTAAGCAATGTAATAATTGTTTTCAATTATCTTGTAAAACTTTCCTTTAAAATATTGTAGTAAGTTACAACTTGATTACATTATTAGAAATAGTTTTAAAATATTGTAGTAAGTTACAACTTGATTACATTATTAGAAATAGTTTTAAAAAGTCTTTTTTTAGATTTTGCTGAAATATCTAAAAACTGTTATTGCTTCACAGATGTGTTTTCATTGTGTTTATATAATTATGTAGCAAATACCACATTAAAAATATTGATTTTTCTGAAAATTTTTATACAATACCACAGACTTTCCAAAATTTTCATGTAAGTTTAAAAAGGAATTTGTGAACAATTTGTACTCTGCCCTGCTATTGTTTTATTGTCTTGAAATGTTTGTGTTCTACAGTAATTCCTGTACACTGAATCCAAAAATGATATTCATTTTTCTCCATCATATAAAGGTTTTTCGCAAAACATCATATGTATTTTTACACAACACATAGTTTTGAGAATAAAAGATGTGGATTTGACATCAGTGTTCTTCCCTTTGCTTCATATAATAAACTTCATATAATATGCAGTGATAAGTTAATAAACAACAAATTACACAATCGTGGTGATACGAAAACAAGTTAAATACTACGTCAATTGCGATGATAAGTTAATCATTATCTACCACGATACTTGGGATGATAAAGTAACAAGTTATATACCACCGCACTTAGGATGATAACGTAACAAGTTATATACCACCGCACTTAGGATGATAACGTAACAAGTTATATACCACCACACTTGGGATGATTAAGTATCAAGTTACATACCACCACACTTGGGATGATAACGTAACAAGTTATATACCACCACACTTGGGATGATAACGTAACAAGTTATATACCACCACACTTGGGATGATAACGTAACAAGTTATATACCACCACACTTGGGATGATTAAGTATCAAGTTACATACCTCCACACTTGTGAATAAGTAACAAGTTACATACCACCACACTTGGAATGATTAAGTATCGAGTTACATACCTCCACACTTGTGAATAAGTAACACGTTACATACCACCACACTTGTAATGATTGGGTAATAAGTTACATACCACCACAGTTGTAATGATTAGGTAATAAGTTACATACCACCACAGTTGTAATGATTAGGTAATAATGTACATACCACCACAGTTGTAATGATTAGGTAACATGTTACATATCACCACAGTTGTAATGATTAAGCAACAAGTTACATGCCACAACATTTGCGGAGATAAGGTAACAAGTTACACACCACTAAACTAGCGGTGATATAGTAACAAGTTACATACCACAACACTTGCGGTGATAAGGTAACAAGTTACATACTACGACACTTGCGGTGATAAGGTAACAAGTTACATACTACGACACTTGCGGTGATTAGATAAGAAAGTACTTCATTAAATTTATCTCTTACATTGATAACATAGGCCTGCGATGGTTTTATTGTCTTGAAATCTTTACATATTCTACAGTAATTCCTGTATGCTGAATCCGAAAACAATATCCATTTTACTCCATCATGTACAGATTTTTCACAAAACGTCATAACACAATACATAAAAGAAAGACCACAACACGTAGTTTTGAGAGTAAAAGACGTAGATTTCACAAAACAAATTAGGATGAACGAGGATACATATTCGTTTGCCATCAATGTTCTTCCC